ATATTTCTGCTTTATTACCTTGCTTCCTTATTAATGCCAACTTTAGATTTAATCACTTTTATGACCAGTTGCAACAAACTGCTTTTAGTTTTACATTTAGCTTTGCTCCTTATTATGTTTTAATTATATTCATTTATGATTTTATCCTAACCTTGTCCTGCTTTGCTTTTTTCCAGTTTCTTTGAGCAAATATATAATTCATAATTATTTTCAGTTTAGTTTTAAAAGTAAGTTACAGTATTCTGCAATAAATTTACTTGTTGCCCTAAAGTTGTCATGTATTCACCTTACAATTTATTACGGATAATTAATAATTTGGATTTATCTTAAGTCCAAAGTTTTATTTAAGGGATGACTTCTTTTATGATTATATATCGTAAGTAATCTATCTATTCCTTTCAGTTTTAAAGCTCACAATTAAGGATGTATTATCTTGAAATTCTTTTTTTTTTTTTTTTTTTTTTGAGACAGGGTTTCGCTCTGTCACCCAGGCTGGAGTGCAGTGCAGCCATCTTGGCTCACTCCAAACTCCGCCTCCCGGCTTAAACAATTCTCCTGCCTCCGCCTGAGTAGCTGGGACTACAGGCGCCCCCCACCACGCCCGGCTTTTTTTTTTTTTTTTTTTTTTTTTTTTTTTGTATTTTTGGTAGAGGCGGGGTTTTGCCAAGTCGGCCAGGCTGGTCTCGAACTCCTGACCTCAGGTGATCCGCCCACCTTGGCCTCCGAAATTGCTGGGAATACAGGCGTGGGCCCGCGCCTGGCCTCAAAATTACACTTCTTAACAAATTTCTATTTTTTAGTATTAAAAATGTTCGGGCCAGGCACAGTTGCTCACGCCTGTAATCCCGTACTTTGGGAGGCCCAGGCGGAGGGATCACCTGAGGTCGGAAGATGGAAACCATCCTGGCTAACACAGTGAAACCCTGTCTCTACTAAAAATACAAAAAATTAGCCAGGCGTGGTGGCACACGCCTGTAATCCCAGCTACTTGGGAGGCTGAGGCAGAATTGCCTGAACCCAGGAGGCGGCGGGCTGCAGTGAGCGGAGCTCACGCCATTGTACTCCAGCCTGGGCAACAAGCGCAAAACTCCATCTCAAAAAAAAAAAAGAAAAAAATTTTTCTGGGCCAGGCACGGTGATTCACGCCTCTAATCCCTGCACTTTGGGAGGCCGAGGTGGGCTGATCACGAGGTCAGGAGATCTAGACCATCCTGGCTAACACGATGAAACCTCATCTCATTTAAAAATACAAAAAATTAGCCAGGCATGGTGGCACGCACCTGTAATCCCAGCTAATCGGGAGGCTGAGGCAGGAGAATCGCTTGATTCTGAAAGGCGGAGGTTGCAGTGAGCTGAGATCATGCCACTGCGCTCCAGCCTGGGTGATAGAGCAAGACTCTGTATCAAAAAAACAACAAAAAAATGTTCTTAGTGACCAGAATATGATCTAATGATGAAAAAAGAGGGATGAAAAATTTGTTGACCTAGATCCCATAATAGGCATGGCACTTAATCTTTTTACTTCAGTTTTATTTTGGGAAAACAATGATATCCATGTTACACGTTTGCTGTTGAGATTAGATTATATAAATTTAAGATATTTAGAAAACCATCTGACACAGAATAAATACCACTGAATTTTAGGTATGATTATCTCTTCAATCTTTGCAATTTTTCCTTGAAGAGTAAAATATTCCATAGGGTAGAATACAGGATAGTTAGCTATCTTGCCTTATTTTTAACCTCTTTGATCTGTCATAAGCTGAAAGAGGTTTCTTGCCTCTCTTAATAGTTTTCAATAACCAAGGTAGCAGCTGCTTTTGTATTGGGCTACATAAAAAGATGACTTTTATCCTCTTGTCTAATTTTGCTATTTATCATTGTGTGATATCTATTTTCATACCATTATGGGTACAAGTTCCACTTTGATATAAATAAAGGTGCTCTTATTTGCCTTTTAATTGCTTTTGCCAAAAATATTTTGCCCATTTCTTTGCTTTCCTTCCTTCATCTCTTAGATTTTTTTTTTTTTTTTTTGAGGAGTTTCACTTTTTGTAATGTATTTTGGTTTTGCTCTGAATCTTGGTTTATCAACTATTAATATTTGAACATAATATATCCATTTCAATTTATACCATAAATCACACTTTCTCAGTTCCTTTACCTCTTCTGGTTTGTTCAGAAAAGAAAGGTCTGAAATGTGAAATAGAATTACAGGCACAAATGCCAGAGAGTGTAACTGTGAACTGTCTATACTACCCCATAAATACACCTAAATGGGGAAAAAAATCATTTACTGAAATAGTCTGAAGATGCACTTGATTTCTTCCTCCAGATAATCTATATTTTATCCCTGTATCAAGCAGAAACACTAGAAAATGGCTTAGAGCAGTGCTGTCCAACTTGGTAGCCACTAGCCACATGTGGCAACTAAGCACTTAAAATGTTACTATGTGACTTATGAAATAGATTTTAATTATATTTCAATATCCACATATGGCTAGTGGTTACTCTACTAATCTACATACTATACCAGACTACAATATTTTGATTCTCTGAAAACCTATATTCACTGAGTTTTCTCATAGTTCTTGAGTCCTTTGTTCCCACTGAAGAACTACTGAAAGAGGCTGAATTTCTTTTATTGAAGTTATTGGAAGGTTGTACACTTCATGGCCCATCCAGAGTGCAAAAAGAGAACAATTTTAGACTCACTGCCAGGAAGTTTTCATGCCCCATTCATAATCAATACTGTTTTTCTTTATGGAAATATAAATCATGTGACAGATGTCTGCATTGTGCAATAGCTATCAAAAATATTCAAATTTACAGCTCAATTTTGATAACTATGAAAGACCATAAAACTGGTACTTACCTATATATTAAATCATGCTATCAGTCTGCTATTGTCTATTTTCCTGTTGATTTCTATATTTCCATTCTAATGACCCTTAAAAGCCTCATACAATGCATTATAAATAAAGCTGATAATAACAACTAAACAACTCACCTGGGATCTGTTCATTTTCTACTGGTCTTGGGAAAATGTAAAGGTAATGCTGGCAAAGAGGAGCTAAGAATAAAGTTAGGAGAAATCTGGCCCGCCTTGCTGCTCCTGGATCCAACTTCCTAAAATGCTACACAGAAGAGACCATTTGAACAATGTGGAGACATCTCTATGACCAGACTGTGTTGAGCTTAGACATGCAATTTTTCACTGGGTGAAAGTAAACACATGTATCCCAATGATTAACAATTTATGTCACTAAGACACAAAAAAATTTAAAATACAAACAATTTATAAATGACAGGATCCTAATATAAAAGTGTCTTCATTAAAACTGATGTGGTAGGAAACACTCAGGTTGTACTGTTTATCTGTTTTCCTATGAATATAATACTGGGAATATTGTTGAACAATTTACAGAAACTCTAAAAAAGAGAATGAATGCTTCAGTACAAGATGTTTTAATATTTGTTCTAATTTCATTACAGTTTCATACGCTTTTGATAAGACTTGTTTCAGCTGTGCAAAGGAATAAAGAAACCACGAAACTTTCTTTTTTTGAAACAGAGTCTCGCTCTGTTGCCCAGGCTGGCATGCAGTGGCACGATCTCAACTCACTGCAACCTCCACTTCCCAGGTTCAAGCGATTCTCCTGCCCCAGCCTTTCGAGGAGCTGAGATTACAGGCACCCGCCACCACGCCCAGCTAATTTTTTGTATTTTTAGTAGAGACGGGGTTTCCCCATGTTGGCCAGGCTGGTCTCAAACTCCTGATCTCAGGTGATCCACCTGCCTCGGCTTCTCAAAGTGCTGGGATACAGGTGTGAGCCACCGCGCCCAGAATAAACACTTATCTTGATCAGTAACAAAGGAGTGACCAGTAATAATTCACTGATTCTCTCAGGCTCCATATATTTTATCTTTCAAATAAGGCAGAAATAGTTAAATACTGTATACTCTTCCTGCACTACCATCTTGTGATTCTAAGGTAAGAATAAAAAGAGAATAAAGGCCAGGTGTGGTGCTTCATGCTTGTAATCCCAGCACTTTGGGAGGCCGAAGCAGGCAGATCACCTGAGGTCAGGAGTTCAAAACCAGCCTGGCCAACATGGCGAAACCCTGTCTCTACTAAAAATACAAAAATTAGCTGGGTCTGGTGGCACACACCTGTAATCCCAGCTACTCAGGAGGCTGAGGCAGAAGAATCACTTGAAGCCAGGAGGTGGAGGTTGCAGTGAGCCGAGATCACCTCACTGCACTCCAGCCTGGGCAACAGAGTGAGACTCCATCTCAAAAAAATAATAAATAAAAACATCAATTATTGGCCAGGCATGGTGGCTCACACCTGTAATCCCAGCACTTTGGGAGGCCAAGGTGGGCAGATCACTTGAGGTCAGGAGTTCCAGACCACCCTGGCCAACATGGTGAAAATCTGTCTTTACAAAAAATACAAAAATTAGCTGAGCATGGTGGCACATGCCTGTAGTCCCAGCTACTTGGGAGGCTGAGGCACAACAATCACTTGAACCTGGGAGGAGGAGGCTGCAGTGAACTGAGATTGTGCCACCGCACTCCAGCCTGAGCAACAGAGTGAGACCCTGATTCAAAAAAAAAAAACAAAAAACAACAAAAAAAGAAGGGCTGGGTGTAGTGGTTCACGCCTGTAATCCTAACACTTTGGCAGGCCAAGGCGGGTGGATCACCTGAGCTCAGGAGTTCAAGAACAGCCTGACCAACATGGTGAAACCCCGTCTCTCCTAAAAATACAAAATTAGCCAGGCATGGTGGCGCATGCCTGTAATCCCAGCTACTTGGGAGGCTGAGGCAGGAGGATCGCTTGAACCCGGGAGACAGAGGTTGCGGTGAGCCAAGATCACGCCATTGCTCTCCAGCCTGGGCAATAAGAGTGAAAGTCTGTCTCAAAAAAATAACAACAACAAAAGAAAAGAAAAAAAGATAAAATGTCAATTATTTGCTGTTCAATGAAACATCACTTCTAGGCAAAAGATTTCTCATCTTTATTGGGTGTTCTCACCCCAACCTGGGTTGCTATGGAATGAGTCCAAGAAGGTGAAGGTTTCTGAGCCTTCAGGATGTTGACAAGGGTTTCCTCTATGTTGTCTCTCTGATGTTTAGCAAAGTCAGGATTCTGGTAAAAGGTTTCATTATATTCATAGGGTTGCTCCCCTGTGTGTGTTCTCTGATGTGCTGTGAGGGATGACTTCTGGTAGAAGGTTTTCCCACATTCACTACATTCATAGAGTTTTTCTCCTCCATCTGTTTTCTGATATACAGAAAGTTTTGGCTTACGGCAAAATGTACTAGCATGCTGATTAATTTTATAGGCATTCTTTCCTATACGTGTTTCTTGATGCTGAGTGAAATTTGGCTTCCTGCAGAATACTTTCAAATCTCTATTACAGTCAAAAGTTTTCTCTCCTCTGTAACTTCGTAGAATGAGGAGTGATTTCTTGCCAAAACTATTCTCTCGCATTACACTCATAGTGTTCCATCTCCATTAACTCTGTGGTGTTTACTTACAGGTGGCTTCTCACCAGACCTCCTCTCACATTCATTGAATTCATAGGAACTCTCCCTTATGTGAGTTATCTGATGAACAATGAATATTGGTCTATCGGAAAGGCTCTCACATGTCCATTATATTCACAGGGTCTCCCATGAGCATACTCTCTTATGGGTAATGCAGCCTGCCTCTTCATGAAAAGCCTTCCCACACTGATTGTATTCAAAACACTGCTTCAGAGTTTGATGCCTAAATAGGTCCTCATTCTGAGAGATGGCTTTCCCATTTCCATCATATTCCAAAGGTTTCCCTCTGGCATAAGGATTTTCACGCTTCATACAAAGGAAAACTTTCCCATGTGCATTACACTCAGAAGGGTTCCTTATAAAGGAGCTTCTATTACTAATAATTAATTCCAAAATATAATTCAAATTCACTCCATATGAGTCACAGTTGCCACGTATTTTTCTTAATAGAATGGGGTTTGTGTCAAGATAAAATGTTTTTCCTAATACACCATTTCTGTCCATAGTCAGTGTTTTGTTGTTGAAAAAATCAACTTTCTGCAAATGCTGGTCTTGATTTTCCTGTCTCCTCTCCAACAGGTTATCATCTATGCAGCAGTCTAGAAACAAGAATAAGTTACCACAGATTATAAATGTTAATATATTTCTTATGAAAAGGAGACATATTCCCTTTTTTTTTTTTTTTTTTTTTTTTTTGGCACAGTGTCTGGCTCTGTCACCCAGGCTGGATTGTGCAGTGGTATAATCATGGCTCACTGCAGCCTCAACTTCCCAGGCTCAGGTGATGCTCCCACCTCAGCTTCTCGAGTAAATGGGATTACATGTATGTACTACCATGCCTGGCTAATTTTTTGTATTTTTTGTAGAGATGGAGTTTTTTGCCATGTTATCCAGGCTGGTCTCAAACTCCTGTTGCCCAGGCTGTAATGCAGTGGCAGCATCACAGCTCACTGCTGCCTTGACCTACGGGGCTCAATAAATCCACCTGCCTCGGCCTCCCAAAGTGCTGAGATTACAGGCATAAGCCACCGCACCTGACCCAGGCTGTTCTTATAACAGGATCATATGCATACCTTTATTCACCTAGAATATCATCATGTAACTCATAGTCTGAGATTTCACTTATATGATCAATTACACTGTAATTACTAGAGTCTACAATGCTTCTGCTTCATCTTCTGATTTGCCTAATAATTGTGAAGAGACTTCCTCTTGTCAATTTTCTACTCTTTGCAATTAACGGAAGAAAATAAAAGTTCTCAACTCTCAACTGTGCCCATTGAATTATTAAAAAAAAAAAAGAGAGAGAGAGAGTTGGGCGCAGTGGCTCACGCCCGTAATTCCAGCACTTTCGGAGGCCGAGGAGGGTGGATCACCTGAAGTCAAGCGTTCCAGACCAGCCCGGACAACATGGCGAAACCACATCTCTACTAAAAATACAAAAAGTAGCCAGGTGTGGTGGTGCGCACCTGTAATCCCAGCTACTCAGGAGGCTGAGGCAGGAAAATTGCTTGAACCCAGGAGGCAGAGGTTGCAGTGAGCTGAGATCATGCCACTGCATTCCAGCCTGGGTGACAGAGCAAGATTCAGTGTCAAGGAAAGGAGAGGGGAGGGGAGGGGAGGGGAGGGGAGGGGAGGGGAGGGGAGGGGAGGAAGGAAGGAAAAAAGAAAGAAAGAAAAAGAAAGAAAGGAAAGAAAAGAAAGAAAGAAAAGAAACAAAATGAAAAGAAAAGGAAGAGTCAGGTACAGTGGTTGACACCTGTAATCCCAGCACTTTGGGAGGCCAAGGCAGGAGGATCACCTGAGGTCAGGAGTTCAAAACCAGCCTTGCCAACATGGCAAACCCCATCTCTAGTAAAAATACAGAAAAAAAAAAAGCCAGGACACAGTAGTAGGTGTCTGTAGTCCCATCTACTTGGGTGGCTGAGGCAGTAGAAGCACTTGAACCTGAGAGGTAGAGGTTGCAGTGAGCTGTGATTGCACCGCTCCACTCCAGCCTGGGCAAGAGAGTGAGACTCCATCTCAAAAAGAAATGAATAAACAAAATTAAAAAAAAAAAAAGAAAGAAAGAAACTACAAATAAGGTTTCTCCAGGCTTCTTTTATACTTTTGTCACAAGTGATGCAATACTTCAAGCAGCTCAACAAGAAAACTGAAGGATGGTATAATAGTGACAGTGATCTTCACTATTGTATAATCCTTATAAGCAATTCCATCATTCTATTCTTTTCTATTTTAGTTTATTTTACCACAGTTGGACATAACTGATGAGTAATGTTGAAATAATTGCTAAGGAAATAACATAGCAAAATGTTTCAAACTTTAGCAAAATAGATCACTAAAATAGTATTATGCTTCTTAGATTATAAATGGGACCAATTAACTTAAATGATAATAGCAAAAACAGAATGAGTTTCATTCAATTAAAAAATATAAGTAGGCCAGGCACAGTGGATCAAGCCTCTAAACTAGCATTCTGGGAGGCAGAGGTGGAAGAATTGCTTAAGGCCAGGAGTTCAAGACCAGTCTGGGCAACACAGCAAGACCCCATCAGTACAAGTTTATATAGATACATATATACACACACACACACAAATATATATACATATACATATATATGTATATAAATTTTCTCTTTGTTTATCTAAGTTAGAAAAAAAAAATTTTTTTTGAGATAGGATCAAAAGAGATCAACCTGCACTCCAGCCTGGAAGACAACGCGAGACTCCATCTCATTTAAAAAAAAAAAAAAAAAAAAGAACTGTGTCAAAAATAAACTCAAAAGCTAAATTTGGGTCCACTGAGAGGTAACATTCTATTTTGTTTATTATTTGGACCATATATCATTTATACTCCTTTTATATTCTAAGGTTTCCTGTTCACATTTCATATATGATTCTCAAACTCCATATAGCTTGATTTTTGTTTTGTTGTTACAGACAGGCTCTTACTCTGTCATCCAGACTGGAATGCAGTGGCATGATCATAGCTCACTGCAGCTTCAAACTCCTGGGCTCAAGCGATCCTCCCACTTCAGCCTCCCAAAACTGAGACTACTGGTGTACGACCATGTCTGGGTAATTTTTTATTTATTTATTTTTGAGAAGGAGTTTCACTCTCGTTGCCCAAGCTGGAGTGCAATGACACAATCTCGGCTCACCACAAACTCCGCCTCTCGGGTTCAAGTGATTCTCCTGCCTCAGCCTCCCGAGTAGGTGGGATTACAGGCATGCACCACCATGCCCAGCTAATTTTGTATTTTTAGTAGAGACGGGGTTTTTCCATGTTGGTCAGGCTGGTTTGAACTCCCAACCTCAGGTGATCCGCACACCTTGGCCTCCCAAAGTGCTGGGATTATAGGCAGGAGCCACCGGGCCTGGCCTAATTTTTCATTTTTTGTACAGATGGATCCTCATTATGCTGCCTAGGCTGGTCTCAAACTCTTGACCTCGAGCAATCCTCTTGGGTTGGTCTCCCAAAGTGCTGGGATTACAGGAGTGAGCCACCACACTGAGCTTATATAACTTGGTTTTTGATTTGACAATATCTATCTTTTAATAAGATGGTTTAGCCCCTTTAACTGTATTATGACTTCTAAAATAACTGGATTGGTTTTCTCTTTTTCACTTAAGAGTTTCCAGTTGTTCTAACTTTTACCTGCCTTTCCCCACTCTTTCTTTTTTTTTTTTTTTTTTTTTTTTTTGGTGGGATTGAGTCTTGCTCTTGTCACCCAGTCTGCAGGGCAGTGGCACGATCTCTGCTCGCGCCAATGTCTGCTTCCCAGGTTGAAGTTTCTCCTGCCTCAGCTTCCTGAATAGCTGGGATTACAGGCATCCACCACCACACCCAGCTAATTTTTGTACTTTCGGCAGAGATGGCGTTTCGCCATGCTGGTCAGGCTGATCTCGAACTCCTGACCTCAGGTGACCAACCCGCCTCGGCCTCCCAAAGTGCTGGGATTACAGGCCTGAGTCACCAAGCCCGGCCTCATTGGTCTTTTTTTTTTTTTTTTTTTTTAGTCTAATCCAATACATTTAATTTTTTTCTTTTCCATTTTCTTCTTTTTAAAAGTCTAGAAATTACACATATTACTTTCTTTTAGCATTTACTCATTACATGTTACCATTTATATTTAATGCAACAGTATTTCTTCTTAACAATGAAAGGAATTTAGAGGCCAGGTGCAGTGGCTCATACCTGTAATCCCAGCACTTTGGGAGGCCAAGGGGGGCAGATCACTTGAGGCCAGGAGTTTGAGACCAGCTTGGCCAACATGGCAAAACCTCATCTCTACTAGAAATACCAAAATTAGTCAGGTGTGGTGATACACACCATCTGGGGTCCCAACTACTAGGGAGGCTGAGGTATGAGAATCTCTGAGCCTGGGAGGCAGAGGTTGCACTGAGTCAAGATTGTAACACTGCACTCCAGCCTGTGTGACAGAGAGAGACTGTCTCAAAAAAGAAAAAAGAAAGAAAGAAAAAAAAAAAAAAAAGAAAGAAAAAGAAAAAGAAAAAAAAGAAAGGATTTTAGAACACAATTCAGATCAACTGGTAACTGATTCACATGTTGGATTATTTTTCAGTATTTTATTTTTATTGTTTTACATCCAACTGGGCATCATTACTATTTTATACAAAGAATGTGTGTTTAAATTTATGTGTCTATCTCTTATTTCTTTCCAAAACTGTTTCTCCCCATTTTCTCCCATCCAGTTAATGGTATCATCACACAGCCAGTGCCTCAGCATAAAACCTTTGAGATCATGCTTATTAGCTTTTTCTTATGCCCATAATGCAATTTAGCAGTAAATTCTGTTTTGGCTACAACTTCCAAATATATAGCACCCCAGTGAGCAGTCTGTCTGACAGCATCTCTCACATGCTCCCCACTACCCCGACTTCCACCCAGCCCAGCTCACTGCTGTCCTGCACACATGACACTCTGGCCTAAGGTTCATGACACAGGATATACCATCTGGCCAGAATATTCCACTGACACATGATTCAAATCTGTGTTTATTAAACTACTGACTTCAAAAAGGCCCTTCCACAAAGCGCACACTACATCTCATTCTTTTCTACCAATAGAACACAGCCATGGTATTAGAGCTGTATCTCTAACACAGATGGAACTGCCAACATCGTAGCTGCCAAATTAATACGTATTGAATACATACATAATATATGATGAAAAGAAGATAACTGAAATTGATATAGAAGGAAGAGTCAAATGACATTCATTTGACGAAACTGAGAGACGCAAGGATTAAGATTTTGGAAGAAAACAAAGATCATTTAGCTGTTATCTGCTGGTGTGTAATAATATATACATCTGAGGCAAGCAGGCCAGCTCTTCTTAGTCACTTCCAAAGTTCTGGCAACTCTAAAAATGTATTTCTGAAAAATTTCAAAGATGTCAATATGTGAACTATCTCCCTAGGATCCAATTTCTCCCTGGGATTATAGATTCCTATATACTTATTAACTCACCTAGGTGGTTCTGACTTGGGGACTCTTCCTCTAATATCCACAGCACCTCTCCATGCTCCAACTTGCAAATCACTACTGGTTTGGTAATACGATACCCTGTGAATGAAAATGACACAGGACATGGGCCAGATAGCCTGTGGAGGACAAAGCTGTGCCTGCACAAAAATAGGTCCACTTGAGCATTTCATTACGGAAAACACCACAGATATTTTTTACAGTGCCCAAAAGGGATCAATCAAGCTTCAACTCCTGAGTTTCAAGCCTTTAACTCATAATCATACAAAGAAACCATCTGCAATCAGCAACTAAAAAGGAAATAAATGTTATTTGGAGTTTTAAATTACACAATCCTTACCCACTGAGAGGAGGAGGCTGTAGTTCTCCAGCATCACATCTTTGTACAGAGGAGGAGGTTGTAGTTCTCCAGCATCACATCTCTGTACAGGGTCCTCTGGGCAGGGTCCAGATGCTGCCACTCCTCCTGGGTGAAGCCCAAAGCCACATCACTGAAGGACACTGATCCCTAGAACAGTACATTTCATTCTATAGTGATCAGAAGTGGAGAACACACAACATGTGTGAGATCTAACACCTTGTCATGTTCACTGTTGATAGCTGAAGAGAAAATGCTACATAAGATGCCTACTATTAATATTATACATTGTAGGAAAATGAGAAATCCTGGTATACCAATATCCTGCTGGTATATTGATTGCTTTTTTTTTCAGACAGGGTCTCGCTTTGTCACTCAGGCTGGAGTGCTGTGGCATGATTACAACTCACTGCAATCTTGACCACTGGGGCACGAGCGATTCTCCCACCTCAGCCTCCCAAGTAGCTGGGACAACAGGCACACGCCACCACACCCAGCTAATTTTTTATTTGTAGAGACAAGATCTCACCATGTTGCCCAGGCTGGTCTTGAACTTCAGGCTCAAGCTATCCTCCTGCCCTGGCCTCCCAAAGTGCTGGGATTACAGATGTGAACCACTATGCCCAGCTTACTTTCTTAATTCACACAAAAATTATATGAGGTCCCGCTAGTGATAGATGCAGGAGGTAGATAAGGGGGGGTCCCCGGAGAATCTCCGACCAACCCCACAAGTGTTTACACCAGATGCTTTTCTGCAGATAAGGGAATCTGCCCAGGGTCTTGTCTGCACATGCCTGCAACAGACTGAGGACCCACCTGCGTACTGGGAGGATGAGGTGGAGGCAGGGGAAGTTTGAGCCTTGTGCAGGGGGGAGGAGCCTGGCCTCTTAAGATCCTGTGTGGTGGCCTGGTAGTCTAATCTGTGAGGTGGCAGCCTTTTAGTAGAATTGATTAAAAAAGAAAATTGATTTAAAAAAAAACCTAGGCTGAGCGTGGTGGCTCACGCCTGTAATCCCAGCACTTTGGGTGGCCAAGGCAGGCAGATCACTTGAGGTCAGAAGTTCAAGACCAGCCTGGTCAACGTGGTGAAACCCTGTCTCTACTAAAAATACAAAAAGTAGTCAAGGATGGTGGTGCACACCTGTAATTCCAGCTACTAGGGAGGCTGAGACAGGAGAATCACTTGAACCTAGGAGGTGGTGGTTGCAGTGAGCCAAGATCATGCCACTGCACTCCTGTCTGGGTGACAGAGCTAGACTCCTGTCTCAAAATATAGGTAATAAATCATTTTTCCTTTTAGAGGCCAGGTCTTGCTGTTTTGCCCATGCTGGAGTACATTCACAGGCATGATCATAGCATACTACAGCCTCGAATTCCTGGGCTCAAGCAATACTCCTGCCTAAGCCTCCCAAGTACCTGGGGCTCCAGGAAGGTTACCCAGGCTGTAGTGCAATGGCGCGATCTCGGTTCACCACAACCTCCACCTCCCAGGTTCAAGCAATTCTCCTGCCTCAGCCTCCTGAGTAGCTAGCGTTACAGGGGTGTGCCACTAGGCCTGGTTCATTTTTGTATTTTTAACAGAGACGGGGTTTCATCATGTTGGTTAGGGTGGTCTCAAACCCCTGACCTCAGCCCGCCTCAGCCTCCCAAAATGCTAGGATTACAGGCTTGAGCCACCGCACCCAGCCCCTGCTTTTTTTTTTGAAACACGGTCTTGTTCTGTCATCCAGGCTGGAGTGCAGTGGCACGAACACAGCTAACTGCAGCTTCAACCTCCTGGGCTCAAGCAATCTTCTCACCTCAGCCTCCTGAGTAGCTAGGACTACAGATGCATACCACCATCCCGTTAATTTTTTTGTTTTTTCACAGAGACAGGGTTTCACCATGTTGCCCAGGTTAGTCTCTAACTCCTGGGCTCTAGCGATCTGCTGGCCTCAGCCTCCCAAAGTACTGCGATTACAGGCATAAGTCGCTGCACTGGGCTGATTTTTAAATTTTTGGAGAGATGGGGTCTCACTATGTTACCCAGGTTGGTTTCAAACTCCTGGGCTCAAGGGATCCTCCCACCTCAAGCCTCCCAAAGTGTTGTGATTACAGGCATAAGCCACCTTGCCCAGCCTGGCTGTTGTTCTTAAGTTGCTTTTATAAAAGGTGGAGAAGGTGAGCTGACATTTGGTTCTGGGGGGGGAAAAAAAAAAAAAGGTGGCCTGTAATCCCAGCTCCTCAGGAGGCCGAGGCAGGAGAATCGCTTGAACCTGGGAGACAGAGGTTGCAGTGAGCCGAGATCGCACCATTGCGCTCCAGTCTGGGAGACAGAGCAAGACTTTGTCTCAAAAAAAAAATAAAAAAAAAAAGGCGAAGGAGATCCACTGAATTTCTATTTAAACGGGAAAAAAGGGGCCAGGCACAGTGGCTCATGCCTGTAATCTCAGCACTTCGGCAGGCTGAGGCGGGCGGACCACGAGGTCAGAGTTCAAGACCAGCCTGGCCAATATGGTGAAACTCTGTCCACTAAAAATACAAAAATTAGCTGGGCGGCCAGGCGCGGTGGCTCAAGCCTGTAATCCCAGCACTTTGGGAGGCCGAGACGGGCGGATCACGAGGTCAGGAGATCGAGACCATCCTGGCTAACACGGTGAAACCCCGTCTCTACTAAAAATACAAAAAACTAGCCGGGCGAGGTGGCGGGCGCCTGTAGTCCCAGCTACTCGGGAGGCTGAGACAGGAGAATGGCGGGAACCCGGGAGGCGGAGCTTGCAGTGAGCTGAGATCCGGCCACTGTACTCCAGCCTGGGCGGCAGACCGAGACTCCGTCTCAAAAAACAAAAAACAAAAAACAAAAAACAAACAAACAAAAAAAAAAATTAGCTGGGCATGGTGGCGCATGCCTGCAATCCCAGCTACTTGGGAGGCTGAGACAGAATTGGTTGAACCAGGACCCAGGAGGCGGAGGCTGCAGTGAGCCGGCATTGTGCCACTGCACTCCAGCCTCGGCTACAGAGTGAGACTCCATCTCAAAAAAAAAGGGGGCGGGGGTGGGGGAGTGGGGGGGCGGGTGTGATGGCTCATGCCTGTAATCCCAGCACTTTGGGAGGCTGAGGTGGGCAGATCATGAGGTCTGCAGATCGAGACCATCCTGGCTAACACAGTGAAACCCCGTTTCTACTGAAAATACAAAAAACTAGCCGCACATGCTGGCTGGCACCTGTAGTCCCAGCTACTCAGGAGGCTGAGGCAGGAGAATGGTGTGAACCCAGGAGGCAGAGCTTGCAGTGAGCTGAGATCACACCACTGCACTCCAGCCTGGGCGACAGAGCAAGACTCCATCTCAAAAAAAAAGGAAAAACAGGTATGTCTAAAACAAAAATTATAAATGGGCTTATCTTACTAGATATTATTGTTTATTATGAACTCCTCTAATAAAAAGAAAAATACTCCAGTGAAAAGAAAAAGTCCCAAAACAGAGTTAAATAGTGTCCTATGCCAGGCGTGGTGGCTCACGCCTCTAGTCCCAACACTTTGGGAGGCTGAAACAGGCAGATCACCTGAGGTCAGGAGTTCCAGACCAGCCTGGCCAACATGGTAAAACCCTGTATCTATTAATAATACAAAAAAATTAGCCAGGCACGGCTACTCAGGAGGCTGAGGCAGGAGAATTGCTTGAACCAGGGAGGCAGAGGTTTCAGTGAGCCAAGATCACGCCATTGCACTCCAGTCTAGGGAAACAAGAAGGAAACTCTGTCTCAAAAAAAAAAAAAAAAAAAAAAGTGTCCTAATATATGGTCAAGTCCCAAAGGATGATCAATTTTTTTTTTTTTTTTTTTTTTTTTGAGACAGAGTCTCGCTTTGTTATACAGACTGGAGTGCAGTGGCACAAACATGGCTCACTGCAACCTCTACCTCCCAGGCTCAAGTGATCCTCCCGCCTCAGCCTCCCAAAGTGCTAGGATTACAGGCATGAGCCACTGTACCCACCCAGCCAATGATCAACTTATTAAATATGGTTGACATATTTAATATTTAATTATAAATGGTTATAAATTATAAATCCTTTATAAATTATAACAGAATAAGTTGGAAGGCTCCCTAGGAAACATACTCCAGAAAAATGACACATTTGGTACAAAGACAAAGGTGGTGTTATGACTAGTACATCCAGCAAGAAGGCAAGTCGAGCTGCAGCACAGTGATCAAGAGGCTGAGAAGGAAGTGAAGTCAGAGATGTAATGGACCACATAACCCACTGGTGGAATTTTGGCTTTTACTCAGTAAAAAACATAGATGTTGGGCAGAGGATTGCTGTTTAGCAACCTGACTCATCCTACACAGGCACTCTAAATGCTAAGCCAGAGGCCAAGGTCTGAGCAGCAGCAAGACTGCTCTGTAACAGTTGCTGTAATCCAGGCAAAAGATGTCATGGAGAGGATTGCAAAAGGTCAGACTCTGTGGATATATTCCGGATGTATGCCCCAGAGGTTTTTCTGACAAATAAGATGTGTAAGACAAGAAAAAAACAGGTCAAAAATAATTCCAAGGGGTCTGCTATCAAACAAGAAGGCGAAGGAATGCCCCAGAGGTTGTGGGTTTGGGAGAGAAAATCCAAGAGGCCAGTTTTAATCATGTTGAGCTTGGGCCTATAAAATACTCAAGCAGAGATGTGGAGTGGACAGTTAATATATGCATCCAAAGTGTAAGAAGAAATCTGAGCTGGAGAGATTACCAGGAGGGATCAGGCCCCAGAGAGTACTGCTGACAAGACACTGCCAAGGGAGAGGCCTCGGCCAGACAAAGTACAAGTGATAACAAAAGGAGGCAGCCAAATGCCAAGGTAAATAGGGGCAGGTCCCCAGTGCAACCTCCAAGCCAAAGACAGTTTAAAGCCTGAAAGCCAAGATACAAGTTAAATCCTCAGACCAGACTGAGAACTTGTCTTCCTCTTTGGCATGCTTTCCTCTAATCCCTGCTCTTCATCTATTTTATATATTAGCTACCCTTTCCTAATTGGGTTTTTTTTTTGAGACGGAGTCTCGCTGTCACCCAGGCTGGAGTGCAGTGGCGCGATCTCGGCTCACTGCAAGCTCCACCTCCCAGGTTCACACCATTCTCCT